GAATCCACATTCCATAAACCAACACTTGTCCAGCAAATACATTTACACTCACACACGACTCTTTCATAGGGTATATGACTATGCGAATACCCTAGAATTAACTGCGCAGCGTCCATTTTGTGAGGTCTGCTCATCCAGTGACCTTGCGTAATGCCAAATTGACAGCAGCTACAAACGGCAGCACCAAATGACACAACAACAACAAACACACAAATGCAGAGTCGTTAAAAAAAAAGAAAAGAAATGGATATTAAAAAGAAAAACAGAAACAGAAACAGAAAAGAGGCACAAAAGTTCTCAGGTAACCAATGGATTGGTTCAAGTTAGTGATTGCAGAGTTTAATAGCCGCATTATTACAGCCAAACAGATCCATGCAAAAACCATAAAAAAAAAAAGACTGAAGCTGAGGCAGAGGCAGAGGCTGCCACAGATGCAGCACGTTCGAGTTTCAGTTGTTGCGCAGCGGCAGTGGCAGCGGCAGCGGCAGCCGCATAAAGCAGTTGCAACTGCAACATTAATGCGCTGCAAGTTAATGAATATTGTGTTTCATAGCCAGCCAGGCAGCCGCAGCAGAAGGCCGAGTCGAGCCTTTAACAGCTTCCGACTGGAATCCGTTTTTGACTGCAGCTCAATAGAAAGACAGAGAGCGGGAGAGAGAGAGGGCGAGAGATGCAATCTGTTGGCAGCTTGTGCTTATGCTTATAGATCGAATGAGCCGCTGACGCCCGTGGAAGGTCGTGCACGCCATCAACAGATCAGAGCACGACACACTTGCGCCTATGCAAGCGCCGCCGTCTCCACAGTCAACCCCAACGACTTGCATACAACAGGCGCAGGCGCAGGCGCAGTCGCAGCCAGAGCCAAGTGTAGGCGTAATTGTTTTATGTTGCTCGCTTCGCAACGGCAAACAGCAAGAGCGAGAGCGAGCGAGAGAGGGAAAAGTTACGAGCTGGAAGCTGGCATAGCTTGGGCTTGGCTTCGTTCCAGAAGCAGCATGCCTTTTAAATTGGCCGACCGTACCGCCTACCCAGGCGAGGCAATGGCAACGGCAACGGCAACGGCAACGGCAACGCCAACGCCATCAAATGGCTGCAAGTTGCACTTGACTCGCGCCGCATGCAGCATCAAGGAGTCCCTTAGCCCAATGAGCGCATTTTCAATTTTATGCTAATTAGTTTGGATGCGACTGCAGCGAGCTCTCTCCGAGCTGCCAGGCGTCGGCCCAGGTGCGAGCGCCCGCAGTGGCCAACCGCACCATTCACCAGCAATGTGCAACGCCTCGAACGACGCCTTAACGCGGCCAAAACCGAATGAATGAAATGCTGCCCCATTAGTAGGCCACAACCGGCAGCGTCGCCACCTGCACCTGTGTCCCTAACCAAATTGAAACCAACAAACAAACAGCAGCAATTGCTGAATGCATCGAATTATATTGTCCAAAGTTTTCAATATGGATCTTTGCTAGTGGAACTTGCAACTCGACAGACTAATTGTTGCAAGTAGCCCAGAACTAGAGACCACCCTGTGATGGGGCTTACCAATCTAAGAGAATAACCTTGGATGGAAAAGGGAGCAAGAGAAGAGTTGAGAGTGAGCGAGAATAAGTTTAGAATGAAGGATTTAGAGAAAGGGAGACAAGGGGAGGAGTGAGAAATAGAGAGATGAAGAAAGATAGAGCAAGATAGAGCAAGATAGAGAGATATAAACAAATGTGTGCGGTGAGAGCTTAAGAAAGAGAGAGAGAGGTAGAGGGGCAGTAAGAGGGAAAGAGAGCGATGGATAGAGATAATGTAAGAGATGGATATATGTAAGCAGAGAGGAAAAAAGGAAGAGAGAGAGAGAGGGGGAAAGAAGGAGTAATAAATAGAAAGGACAAAAATAGGGAGAGATATGTACGAAGTGAAAGCTAGAGAAAGAACATAAAGGTTATAGAGAGAGAGAAAGAAAGAGTGATAAATAGAGAGAAGGACAAAGAGGTATATATATTGAAGCATAAACAGAGAGAAAGATATATATACTCAAAAATACATAGAGGCAAATGGTGACAGAGAGAGAGAGAGAGAGAGAGAGAGAGAGAGAGAGGGAGAGAGAGAGAGAGAGAGAGAGAGGGAGAGAGAAAGGGCAAAGAGAGACAAACAGCAGAAAGAGCGAGAAAGTGAGAGAGAACAAAAAGGTCAAAGTGAGATAGAGAAAAAGTCTGGGAGAAATTGCAGGAGAGAGAATAATTAATTAATAATTAATAATTAATAATAATTAATTAATAATTAATTAAATAATAAACAATTAGAGAAAAAGAGATAGATAGATATATAGATGATGAATAGAGAAGATGTGACAGTCAGAGAGAGAGAGAGAGATACAGAGAGAGAATTATATTGAGCAATATGAAAGGATAGAGAGGGACAGCACGAAAGATACAGATAGAGAGAGAGAGAGAGATAAAAACAAAGCTATAATAAGCAAGAAACAGAGAAAGCGAAGGATACAGAGATTGTTATACATAATGAGATATAGAGATGGAAAGATAGATATAAAGAGAGGCAAAGAAAGGCAGCAATAAAAAAAACACAATAAACTAACATTTGCGTAGTTATGCGACTTCTGTTTCCAATGAGAGTAAAAGCAGAAGGTAAATAATATTCGTTGTATTATAACAATTATAATAATAATAATAATAATCATTGCTTAAATTATTATTTTTATAATTTGATTGCCAGTGGCATACATTGATAGAGCAGTTCTAAGTCAAGCAGTCATAAAGACTCTATCTAGAGTTCTCCTAGACAGGCCCAATTTCCGAGTAAATGACTTTAATGCACTGTGAAATTGATATCAATTGAATATGGAATATTTGAGAGCTTCACTTAGGGCAAAAGACAAATATTATCGAGGTAGCTGCTGCCTCGCCTATCGATAAAGATAGCAAATTATCTACAATGCAATTGAAGCTGACGACTGGGCGGCGAGTAAGTGTAACTAATATACCCTTGTTTAATTGCAGAACAGGGTATATAATTTGATTTAAATGCTAACGAAACTAAATGAAGTCCATATGAAGTGGAAGGCATTACTTTTTGGGTTGGCTCGGAACGAGTGTTGCAGCTGCATATGGAAATGAGGCAGAAGAACAAGAACAACGAGAGACTTCATGAGAATACAGTCCATATTGCGCTGAGAGGCCCGAAGCAATTGCAACTTTAATTGAACCCAATGAAAATTATGGACAAGCAAATTTTCCCACAGATTGCCAAAGGTTTAACGATATTTTGCGTTTTTTTTTCTTTGCGAACGTAATGAGCCTTTAAGTCAAACGTAGACCTGACAGCTTCAATGGCTTAAACGTAGCACAGAAGCTGCAACTAACCACAAATCACAATAACACCCATGCCACACACACACACACACACACACACACAGGTGAGTGTATGTGGATGTGGAAGGGAACGCATAATCATTATCACTCAAATTGGGGGCCCCTTGCACATGTGTGTGTGTGTGTGTGTGTATGCTCGATCCAAAGACCAATTATATATCGAAAACCAGAGACGAGAGCGACAGAGAGAGAGAGAGAGGAGCGAGAGAGTGCATATGATCAGCATATTCGCATATGCATATGAGCTGGTCCGGCACTTAAACGGTCTACAACCATGAAATGGGCAGATCCCGGCATCGAAAATCCCAATTCGAATACCGTAACTTAAGCCCATGAATTAAGCGGCCGCAACTGATGATGAGAACCAAGCCAAAGCTCAAACACAAAGCCAAACCCAAAGCCGAAGCCAAAGCCAAAGCCAAAGACGAATTGGAATCAATGTCCAGCGACGATGACCACCACGACTCCACAATGTGCGACTCGCGACTTTCGCATGTGCAAGAGAGAGGGAGAGAGAGAGGGAGGCGGAGAGAGCTAGGCGGTACCAAATTTATAACTTAGATCATAAGTGAGCCTCTCGACGCGCACATAGACCAGCGCCTCGAGCTTAATAAGTGCATTCGCCTGCAGCTACAGATTTTGCGCCTCGCTCGCCTCAGGCAAATTATAGTCCACAAAGATTGTTTTGGCCTAAACAAACGTTTAGATAGGATATACATATATAGTGGCTCCATTAGATATTACTTTTTTAACTGCATTTTCATATATTGTTATGTATCTACATACAAATGCAGCCCAGTTTCGAGTCCCGAAACTGAAAAAGAAATTTCCGTGCCCTTCTAAGCGATTCTCATAAGCTCAAGTAGACACTTTCCTTTAGTTTATTAACGAATTTTGTTGGTATTTCACTTTGACTTTACTAAACTTACTCCAATTTACAATCTTAACAGATATTATACATATACCTCTCTCTCTCTCTTCCTAATTCTATACTTCCTACTCCTCTTCAACTAAAGTATTATTTTGAAGTCCTTTTCTCCATTATATACCAGCACTTGTATGTGTAAGGGTTAGAAAAAATTTGTTTACATACTGTATAGTTCATTTCCTACATATTTATACATATTTCTATATATATATATATATATATAAATATCTCAATCAAATCTATCATTCATATATAAAAATAGTGTTTTCTTCTACCTGAAGCATATACTACAACTATTTTTAGCTTTCAAGTTCCCACCTTACCGCATACACACACCATAGCTCGCGCCATCTACTGCAATGCTTACACAACTGCCGCTTAGTCATAGCACACACCACAAGCGTTTAAAAGCACTACGTTAGTCAAGACACACACTAAAGTGCTCGCACTGAACGCCACTACGTACTCACCCAACGACGAACATCGCTCGAACTTAACGAATCGAACAAAAACTAAACGAAACGTACCCGCTGTTAGTTAACAGGCTGATTGTCAGATTCAAAATACATGCGACTTTCGTGGTGAGCGGACGTGTTTTTTTTATTGTTGATTTTGTTGCTTCTGCCCAAGTACTCGACGTTGAGTACACCGCTTAGTGCGCGTCGTAGATTGTGTTTATTGTTGTGAGTACTGCAAGCTGTTGTTGTTGTTGTTGTTGTTGTCGTTTTGGTAATTGCCTGGCACACACACACACACATGCACAGCTAAGTCAGTCATGAATTGGAATCGGTGCGCGCGGTCGTGTGTGTGACTGTTTGTTTGTATCCGCAACTGCATCTGTATTATTGTACCAACGTATATTTTCGTTACGGTAATATTCGTACATATTGTACTTTTTTTCTTTCATATTTTTTATTGTTGTGGTTGTAGTCATGAAATGTTATTAGAAATTGACGACAAGACACGCCAAATTAATAACACAGCCCAGACGTAATATGTGTGTGTGTGTGTGTGCTATTGTATATCTATGTGTGTGTGTGTGTAGCTGTATCTGCAGCCGTGCATCCGCAGCAGCGGCTGTGCTTAAGCAAGAGTTTTGAACGAGACCAAGTTGGATGATTCTTATTGGATTGTTGTGGTTGTTGTTGGTGCCGCTGCTGCTGTTGTTGCTGCTGCTGTTGCGTTGCCGGTGAATGAACCCAACCGAAAAAAAAACGCACAACAAACGTACGCGACGCACGCTTATGTACGTGTGTGTGTGAGAGACCACAAAATGGTGGTAGAAGGTAGAAGAGCATTAAACATTTCTCGAAATATTAACCCAACTGTGCACAACGGCATAAAGCCTCAAACAACAACAACAATAGCAACAGCAACAGCAACAGCAATAACAACAACGAAAGGGACGTAAGAAAAAGCCAAACGAGCAAAAGCGTCCGCCGTTTTGTTTAATGTCTTTTTCACAGTTGCTTTTTGTTGTTTAACAACAACAACAACAATAACAATAGCAACAGCAGCAAACAATTATCATTTACATACTATCTCTCCAATTAGAACACGCACACACACACATATACTTGTTATCTTATCAGTTATAATCTTTTGCAATCTGTTGGCAACATTTGCGCGCAACATAAAATATTAAAAAAAATACACCAAAACAGCTGCCTGGGAAATTGACTGACTAACTAAAGCTGTCCATATATGTACATGCATGCATGTGTATATAACACATAGACATGTAGAAGTGTTATATACATTTATGTAGATTTATATAGCTGCATGCTACATGCATTACTCAGAGCTTTTTTCTGCGTGTGCCATATCCGATAGCCGATACCGGTTTAAGGTCTTAAGGATTCGCAGAAAGCGGGGTGCGCCAAAAAGTGCTTTGCCTCTGCCTCTCTCTCTCTCTTGCTGCCTCTGCCAGCACCTTGTCTTCGTCTTCTGCTTCCTCTGCTTCGTCTTATGCTCAGCCGGCTTCATCAGTGCTGCCCAAGTCAAAGCTAATTTCAGCAGTTGCGCGTATTAAAAAAGAGCTAAACAAGTTGGCGCAATAAAATAAACGAAAGTGACTTGACTTTCTTATAAAACTGACATCATTGAATAAATATAAATATAAATATATTCGATAACTAAATAAGATAACAGTTATATATATATATAAAATGTATTTTGCAGTCCAGCCAACATGGTTACGTTAATGCAGTTCGTTTAGCAGTTCGTAGTGCGGAAAAGTGTTTATTAATTCTATGTGAGATAAACGAAAGAGGAAGAAGCCATAAATAACCAAATATTAGTGAATTTTATAGTCTAAAATTGTTTTTATTCTTGATAAAAATGATTAAGTCGCGGGTCAAACTTGGTAACAAGCTAAATATGATGCATATAACAAAAAGGCTACATTCATAGAAAAAAGTAGCTAGTTTCACCTAGCCAAATTGGCATCACTGAGCACTCACTCGCCTGGCTCAGTGCACACAAAACAGTTAAAAGTTCAGGCTTAAATTAAAGTTCGCCCCGGTCACATGAGAATGCTGTGAACACAGCTGTACAGACTGCTGCGTACTGGCTTCAATATTTCAAATACTACGAATCGAAAGCGTCTTATCACACTGTCAAGGTGAATCTACTATGTAATCTAAGTGGTTCACACTGCGTTCTGTACGTAGATAGATATGCCGAATACAACAAATTATGATTTATGGGCACGACACAGGCAAAGGCAATTGCCAACCTTCGTTATAACAATCATACTCTCCAAACACATAAGTATGTATATACATAGGGGTACATATGTATGTATGTGCTTTGTATGTGCTTAAATTTACTGTAGACTTCAGTTACATAGAAGTGTGGACATAAATTTGACTAAAAACGCCAAATTGCCGGCAAAAGTCACACACAGCGTTTTTTATACATATCTTTTTGTACCTCTTTTTTAGCTTCTTCTTCTTTTCTTTTCGTTTATTTTTTGTCCATTGTTCAGTTTTTTGTTACTTCTGAAAATCTTGCATAACTACAAAGGTACACACAGTGGGTAAAAATGGAATAAAAAATAATAATTATAATATGTACGTGGCGGGGGCAGGGGGTGGAGGGAGGTAGAGGAGGAGCTGGGCACACAAAATCAAATAATAACCCAGCCGTGAGCTTTGTTCGTGTGTGCTTGTATGTGTGCATGTTTGTATGAGTGTATTTGTGTAATCAGTGTGAAACTATGTTGTGTGTGTGTGTATGTAGTTCGTATGGGCGGCTGCTGTAATCGTTCGTAATCATTTAAGCCGGCGCCCATGGGCAGCTACCGAAACACACGCACACGCACACACACACACAGATACTCAAACTGGCACATATAGAAATTAACATATTTATATATGTATATATTATATATACATTTATATATAGTAGGTGAGATACAAAACGCTGTGTGCAAGCATCTGAATAATCGCAATTGCCAGCGATATCTGGCTACTCTCTACACTTACACATATACGATACCCAAAAGCCAGACAATGCTCAGCCGTGCCACTGGGGAAGGGACAGCGAAAGGGCAAAGGGGGTGGGGGGTAGACACTTCATAAAGCTGGGTTAGTAGTTCACCTGTTGATTGCATTGCTGCTCGCGACCGCACAGTGAGTGAAATTTGATACACACACACACAAGCTCATTGAATTATCAATTTAACGGCTCTTTTGCAACTGCAATTGCACAAGTTGCGCACTGACAGAAAGAGAGAGGTAGAGAGTGGCAGGAAGGGCGACAGACAGAGCGAAACAGCTAAACTTTAACCTCAGCTAAAGTTGGCTGTGACGTCATGCACAGTGAAGCAAAGCTAAGATAACTAGAGCTAGGTACTCTTCATATGCAAATATACAGTTCTATATATACTCTAGATAATTTATTGTGATTCAGTATTATATATATAATCGTGGCCAAAGCAGAAAACTTTCTACATTTAAAGTAAATTTTTGTTATCGAAATACCCTTTAAATCGCGGTGATAGAGTAGCTCAATGTGGAAGCATAATTAGCAGATCAATATACAGACAGCTGTGCTCATGAAAATAATAATTCGTCTGGGCACTAAATATTGGCCAACAAAACTTAATGCTAAACACAATGTTTTGAGAACAATTTGAAACGAATATTAATATTTATATATTTTACAGTAGTTTAGATAGTTTTTTATTATTTTTTAATTTTTGCAAACTTGGGAACATGTGCATTTTACGGCTGGCGAAAGGAACATTAAGACAATGTAGTTGTTCATAAAAATAGTAGTGGCTAAAGGCTAAAAAGCAGAAGGCAAAGCACTACTATTTCTATGAACAGTCGATTTTCATCGCTAAAATCGTCAAAAATATATTAATTCTGGGCGTTACTTTTGCCTAGATTTTCGTGATTCTCTTCCGGCTTTACCAAGTGGGCGTCTCTAATTTCTCAATGGAAATATTTTAATAAACACGTCTGTATATAGATAGTTCCATGATCGATGAGATCTCTGACAGCTATATGATATAGTGCTTCGATCTATAAAATAATTAAGCCATATTAAATATCATAAGAATCGCTTACAAGCTGAGAGACTTACAGACGTCTATTGATATTGATCATGAATATATATACTATATATATATGAGTTGAGATAAAGTAACTTAATATTTTAGTTGATATAAGCATATGGTCGCAGCACATATAACTAGTGTTACAGTGGGCACACGATGACGTGACCAACTTGCTGCGAGCTAATCACTGAAATGTCTCCATTTATGGTGCGGCCATTAAATCAATCAATAACTCATCACTCGGCAGTCAACTAAAAAGTTGCCACTAAAAATTGAAGACGTTCGAATCGTTCTAACTTTTTGATGGGCCTGTGACATTGTCACGCATCTCTCAAAGTCACAATTAATGCGAAACATGTTGAGTTTTGCAGTCGAGCACAGTGCTTAGAAAGTTACAGTGAAACTAGCTAAAAACTAAAGATCCACATCAAAAATACTTCTTTCGTAATACCCCCACCCACAACTCTATGCACTTCCCAAACAGCCATAATGCCCAGCTGGCTTATAAAGACTTGCTAGTCACATAACTGAACTATCAGCTATATGCCGCATTCCTCACGTTTCTTGAAGTTCAATCCGAGTTACGGCTGTTGCATATTCATTTCAATAAGCTGTATCTTTGTTATTTTTTTACTCATATATAGTTTGTCCCAAAAATCTGACAACAATTACCCAATTTTTCGCAAAAGCGCAGGAATTTCTGCTGTAGTTTGACTTGCAAATTGAGATAGATTTAGATGTTCCAGTAATTTCTCAATTGAACTTAATTAAAAGTGCATCGTAGGCAATGCAATTGTCTACGTTTTCGCTGAGAAAATCTATTTGCATATATAAGCTATTCAGCCTACATTAGGATAGTTGGATAAGATATATCTATGATACAGTCTTATTCAGATCATCTGGGATAAAGTCTTTCTATGCTGCAGTCTACTTTCAGATAAGTTAGGAGATTTGGATAAAGGCTTTCTTTATCACAGTCTACATTCAGATAAGTTAGGATAGTTGGATAAGATTTATCTATGCGACAGCCTTATTCAAATCATCTGTGATAAAGTATATCTATGCTACAGTCTACTTTCAGATAAGTTAGGAGATTTGGATAAAGGCTTTCTTTACTACAGTCTACATTCAGATAAGTTAGGATAGTTGGATAAGATTTATCTATGCTACAGTCTTATTCAAATCATCTGGGATAAAGTCTATCTATGCTATAGTCTACTTTCAGATAAGTTAGGAGATTTGTATAAAGGCTTTCTTTATCACAGTCTACATTCAGATAAGTTAGGATAGTTGGATAAGATCTA